TATTCTTTTGTAAACAGACCACTGTACCGACCACATGTGAGGCAGCCTTCGGTTGTTACGCGCGTTTTCGACAAACTCGAACAATAATGTTGCCTGGGATTATATCATGTAAATTGTTTTACCTATGTAAAGTGTGCTTACTGACATTATTCCATTTCCTTTCCCTGTATATATATATATATATATCTTGTGTGAGTGAATATTGTAAATATGCTTACTCCGTGTATATATTACTTGTCATTTTGATGATGCCTGTAAACTGGCGTCCCTCATGTACATAAAGCTGGAATATATTATTGTTATACACTGCGTATGCATTCTATTATTCCGAGGAGCTTATGACAGCTCTTGTGTGTGTGTTTGTATATGTACTCGGGATGGTGGATTATCGATCATGGATGCATGATAATGTTGTGTACAACTTCGCAGTTCCCGAGGACTTTCACCTAAATGTAGGCATTTCATTGGTTGACCATAACTGTCAGTCGAAAGCGAGACGGAGTTTGTTTTGGCACTCAAGCTTGATGGCGACCTAAGTGAACAGTTTAGCATATGTGGAAACCAGTTCCGGTTGTTTCTACTACTTAGACTTCTGAAAAAGTACTTATGATACTCCACCATTGCAATTTATAACCTGTCTTATTGTACCCGTGAAAGTGGCACGCATTGCATGTTAACTTACCCTTTTATATAAAGTATTAAATTAGAATTGGCCCGTTGATCTAGTTTGCCTGGGTCTACTATCTGGCGGGAAATGTTCCCTATTGAACGATCTACTCTGTCTGCCTTGTGCTAGCTGTTTGCGTTAGTGACCAAACGTTGGCCAATAGTTCTGGGGTTATTAGGTCTTTTCTCACACTGATATGGTTCACTCACCCTATTGTAAATCGTCTCCTCCCAACATTCGGTCCCCAGTGCGTGCTAGCTGTTTGAAAGAAAAGTCGGGATCTTGCGCGTACAGTATCTGCTGCACATCCTCCTGTAGGGCTTGCATTCAAACTTGCTTCAGTACAGCCTATCATGCTGCTCCCTACAAGCTGTTGAACGTGGATCAAGAACTGTGATCGGGATGTATCTCTATGTTCTCTCCGTCAGGAAAGTTTTGTACACGATTGTTTTCTGACATGGAGAGACGTTTTATCACCTTGCGTTTAAACACTGGGCATTGTGGGGAATTATGTATGAGGTTCCGCACCTGCTCGCTGACCTCACAACGTAACTGAGAACACCCTGTCGTTTCAGACCTAATGCTGTACCGGTGAAAGTAGTGCTCTAGTTTAGCAAACCATAGTTCTGTGTCAGGTTGATCAAATTCTGGAAATCTAAGTTTGGTAGCTCCTGGGGAGTACACAACCACAGAAGTAGAGTTTCCAAAAGAGTTTATGCTGAGCTTGTGAGACCTGAATAATGTGAACGAAATAGGTTCATCTATATGTAAACTGAGTGCTATCGAAATAATTGTTCAAATTACCGACCGATGTAGAAGACTAGTAGTACTTATAAACCTTTATTTTCGAAAGTATTGCACAGGGCAAGTGAAGCGGGGAACACCTAGTCGACCACATGGAAGGTCAATTTTAGGAGATGAAATAAGTTCGTTAATTAACTGCACCTCGGCGGTTCCAACATCAACGATCAATTTGTTTATCCGTGCGAATTGAAACAGTATGATTTTCAAGGGATAGGAGGTCGCCAGCTTCGTTGTGGTGTGATAATCTACCTGTACATTGTGGTTGGAGACGACATCAGGAAAGTCCGCTGTAGCCAGAAGGCCAGTCTCCGGAACTCAAAATAGTATTTTTCGTACGTAATAACCAACTCGATTTCAAAGCAAGCAGTATTCAGAGACGGACGATAAGTCGATAATTTGCTGGTCAACCAAATACAAGCCAATATAGCAAGTCAATTACGCAGCAGCTTGGTCATGTGATCAACAACTGGGTACTACTAATACTCTAACAAAGTTGCTGATCGTATTGCTCCGGTCTTTTGTGAAGGAGCAGACGTTTAAGTCCCGACAGAGTCTGTTGCCTCCAACGGACAGGAAACTGGTTCGAATAAACATGGTCAAAAAATACATCTCTTGGCAGCTGTAGGTGTTATATTCTGCCTTCGCTAGTTGGGATGGTTTTAAGGGCAGCCTGGCTACCAGGTTAGGTGGGTCAGTCTAAACAGTCAGCAGGTAGTGTGGTTAGTGCTCAGGCCTAGCAGGGTTCGTAGCCACGGGTCAGCAATCACGAGCGTTATTTCTAGTTGAAGCCAACTAGAAGCGATCTCGAGTCTGTGTAAGTAGTCTAGCGGGTTGGTTTCCCAGACATTCGTCAATCCCTAGATAAGGAGAGCCTTAAAAATAATAGAGAAGATATATTTTCTATTTGGTCGCTCGTCCTATGCTTCCAAGTTCCTCAGTTATTTACTGCATCCGAGTGGCTGTAGCGAACCGTTTTATATAGGCCCTTCATTAGCCTCTCCCTATAATCTACTTTCTGAAGAATGTTGTTGCAGAGGTGCATCTCTGGTTTCACATCGAGTTCACTTAGTGGGTATGACGTCAGCTGACAAGTCGTTGGATGTAATCTCCACATCATCAAGATGCTGAATACATGTAGTACATCTGCACGGAACAGGTTAAGGCCATTAATGTAGTACTATTAGCGGAAATGTAACAATGCCATTCGTCAACTTAGTTTACTACTGAATTTGCTATACCAGAGTGGTTAGTATCAGTCGTTTCGAAGTTTTGTGCATCTTCTACTGCTACACAGTAGTCAATATCTGCAAACTAGTTTTTGTCAATAGCAGGTTCATCTAAAATCAGTTAGCAGGTGTTTATCGTTCGTGTCTCTTCAGCCTAAGCCCAAAACTCCCTTATGTGTTTTTGCCTTGAAGGTCCATCGAGGTTACTGGTTTTGCACTCAGTCGACAGGTATCTCCAGGCATTGGAATTGATGCTTTATACCAAGAAAGTCTTGACGCTGTTTCGTTGATTTCTCATTCTCTGCGCTGGTGCCATGGTTATTTTTATCCCTAGAGGTTGACCACTTGGTATATTCCGCAGGAGTGTCTGTGGGTTTCATCTTGAATAGTGTCTGAGGCACTCACACTAGCTTAGGAGTTTGACTTACCACCCGGAAACGAGAACTTAGTGGAGACAATGTTAAAATTGGTTAAGTGGAGAGAGAAACTACTTGAGGAACTACTGAGAGCGGCCTACCCAATACCTCGTCGGTGCAGTAGGATTTTACTTGGTTCTGACTGACGAACAGGTGTTTACTCAGCTGCCCATGCAACACAGAAAAAAGGAGGCTCTAGATAAAGAAGCAACCAACTTCACTGCACACTGAAGAGTGCTTCACTGCCCTAAATAAGGAGAGATATAAGGAATTGGTGAGTATAGTAATAAAATGTCTGGGTATATTCGCTGGTAACTTTCTCACGAATCCCGACTTGCGAAGATATTCCGTGGTTTTATGCAATCCATGGGACTGGTTTTATTCATGTCATCATTTTTATTATGTCGCTTCTCTTAGTTTGTCATCTTCGAAGCATACTGTAAAAAAGAAACTTGATTATGGGGAGAAAAACGGTGGGTCTGATTCGTGCTTTCCGGGTTTTGGTTGGTTTTTCAGAAGGAATAACTCACCGAAACTTGCAGTGTTAATCCTAGATTTTTGCTGCATCTTGGACTAGGCGCTGAGTTTGTGGAGTACCTCAGTTGGACGAAAATTCAGCTAGACCTGAGACGAGTATGTATTCAATTGGACTAGCTAAATAAACTACTGGTTAGCCTGCAAAAGTTATAGGAAACAGCCTTCGATGAGATGTCTGAGCTTCTTATATGTTGGTTAACACGGACAGTCAGTCTCACAGTCAGATAAGATGAATGATCGCTCTCCCCAAAATTTATGTTCATATTCCTTCTATTCATATATATTGGTCTCCTTGGCATACTTCCATGTGACCCATTCTTTTTTTCCTTCAACACCGCTGCTGTTTGAGCGGTCAGTGAAGAATTTTGAGTTTATGAAAGCTGGTTAAGCGTCACTCAAAGACACCATCTACTGAATAGGGGGTTAACGGATACTAAGTCAATGCATAAACATAAGTATGCATTCTCACTGGTTACCCAGTTGTTCGAACTTACACGTAGGCATGGTGGAGTTAGAACGGAGCACCTAGTGCCTGGAAAGTTCAGTATTAAGCCAATAATAAGCCATACGTCCCCTCACAAGGGGTAGGAAGAATCATAGAAGTAGTAAAATACGTTTTATTCAATAATATTTAATTGTCATTGAAAAGAGAAATTAAAGTGAGAAATTGCAGTAGTAAGATGTCCTCTTCGCTAATAAATAGAAAATCTTTGAAAATAAATGAGGAATAAAAAGAGGTTGCTGGAAATTCTCTAATATACGTGAATTCACAAAGATGTGTGCATGTACACACACACACACGTGAAAGCGGTAAGATGATAAGAATGACAAATCGACTGACATGCAAAATATCCCTTCGAATGTCATTAATGCACATTATATTAAAGCTCGACTGGAATTGAGTACTATTGAGAAGAGTGACTAGGTTACACAGGAGTTCTCGTCGTGCACTACACGTTAACGAAATCAAGCTAAAGGTGTTCTCTCCACCCTGATAGTATTATATATCTTCTTCACATAATAAAATAGGATTTAAATCACACTGGAGTTGATTAAAACTGAAGTATTCACTAATTGTAATTAGAACAGTAGAAATAGATTGAAAAAGCAAGAATTTCTTTTTTTGATTTTACTCAAAATACCATTGGAAAGAAAGCGCGGATTGAAACATGCGTACTATAACTTACACGTAGTATAATTATGAAATATAAAAATAAAAGCATCAAATTCAAAATATCTATACATCAACAAAGGGAGAGAGATTTGAAGGAATTGAACTGAACAGTTTCACATGAAGTTGTCAATGTGGAATAAAATAAGTCTAGGAGTCTAGGAGTTTTAATAGATCAGTTATTTGGTTGTCATCTGTTGTTCAATAAGAGTCTTCCAAACTAGTTTAATTTCAAATGTTGTACAATCGAATTGAAATGTTGTGCCATTTTTAAGTTTTAGCATAAATGATAAAGCTGAAATGAAGTGAAAATTGGAAAGAAAAATCGTTATAAGCTGGTTAATCCACTTTGTTTTTTGAAGGGAATGTTGCGTACTTATGGAAAAATAGTGAAACAACAGAGATATTTCTATTTACTTATAGGCTAACTTAGTGAAGAGTTTTGAAAACGTTTGTCAATGTGTGTGTATGCCAGCGTGAACCAATTCCACTTACTTCATCAAGATTCATCAACCAATGTTTCTTAGTGGCCTGAGAACTCTTGCTAGGCCTATTGAACTGTCCGCCACCGGCTTCAGCGGGAAGTCATACAACCTCTGCGTCAATCACATATATTCATCCTTCGCATCATAATCCTCCTAATTTAGCTAACATTTTTCGAGGACGGCTGTGGATAAAACTGTGGATAAAACGTTTCATAACTATCCCAACTGACGCATAACCGCATAGCCTGACTTCCATTTTTTACATCTAACCTCAAGATGTTCATATGAACATAGACACCTGGTGTAGTCAGAGTTAGTAATGTCTTCGTAGTCTGTTTTGATTGACAATCACATTTCCTGTTCATAAAGTAGGATAGAGCGAACTGCTGCTCAGTATAAATAAATGCCTCTCGATGGATAGGTGAATTCCACTCAAGCACCACATTTTAGTATTCTGGTTGGCAAATTAGAATAAGACAGCGTGTTACTCTACAGGAGTGCCTCTTTGTCTAAATCAACATAGTTGTGTCTCGATAAAGTAAAGCCCAGTATTTCTTGGAAATTTACAACTGGCACCAACCAAGATATTTAGGTCAGACAGTATGATTTTGATCATTTTTTACAAAGTGAATAGTCATATATTATAGGTTTCCAGGCCGTAGGTGTTACGAACTTCCTGCAATGACTTGAGCGCCGAGTCAGATTGATTCATTATAAATTATTTGAATTTAAAAAAAAGTTAAACTATCTATCTCATGGTCTCTGGCAGTGGAACTCATGATACACGTTCAGTCGTGTGTGAAACACGACAGTAACGATGTACCCACGAACACTGAAACTCGACAACTATCCTTAGAAAAATGTGAAAGCGCTATCCACTGGACTTTAGAAGGGTGACATTGGAGGACAGATTTCATGAAAACAAACGAATTTAACATACATTTAAGCTGGCGTCTTTTGTTTGTTTAAATGAACTTATTTAGCCATACATATACAGGCAGAAAATAACCGGATTTGACAGAGAAGTTATATTGAGCACGGGAAATTTGAATCGTTAATCAATCGCACGCCTAAAAATCCAATTATTCTTGCTAACTACAGTACTAATTACGAAAACGTAAACCACATTATTAAAAGTGGATCGTTGTTCAGAAAACAAGACAAAATGAGATATTACTAACCTGATATTTCATAATCCTGAAAAGCAATCGAATCGAGGAGTATGGGTTCATAAGCTAAACAGGATGGTCGACAAGTTTCAAGTACATCTTTTTCAGAGACAACTAATAGTAGGGCGTCATTTAGTAAATATGCAAAAACCTGTTGGAATAAACAAAACAAAAAAACAGATTATACACTAATGAGAACGGCGGAGTACGTATAAGGAGTGTTAACGACTATGTGGCACTGACGGTTACTTCTGGGTGTTTCAGTAATAATCTTCACTGGACACTTACTGAAATCATGTAATGTTGTATGGGTGCTGGCAGCTAACACTGGAATTAGGGACGTCAGTTCCATCCTATCTGCGAATATTTATCTGTATCCAAGTGAGTGACAGTGTTCTTACTGACATATGGGGATCCAATACTCATTGTTCCAAACATTGAAACGTTATCCACTTAGTTATTAAGCCACGAATAGCATTATTCATTGGGATAGAAGTATGTCTTGGTGGACTTTTTCAAATAGAACGAATCTTGTGTGTCTTGGGTTCTGTCTGATATCAGCCACCATCAACAAAGTAACATCACATTAACTTGGATATACCATGAAAGTATTCGAAACAAAAACCAGTAGATCAACAGAGATGATTCAATGGGGAATTCGAATTTGATATTGTCCTCTAAGCTGGTTGATGATTTAACTGTGAAGCTTTCGTTATCCTTTTAAATAACATCGTCAGCGCTAACTTCAACATGAAGTGAGCTTATCTGTATTCTCCATGAATGATGATACCATTGTATCTTCTGACAAGCTATTTAGTGATCGGCTGTGAATTCACGTCTTTATTGATCATTTTTCATTGACTTTTTCTGTTAGCTGGCCTATTTCGTACTAGTTGATAAATCCGATCCATAGTAATGTGTCTGTTGACTGCTGATTCCTCTCATCAAGACCAGGCAGACTTCGAGGAATTCCCTGGCATATTCGCTGTCTTCATCGTCAAGAATTTCTACTTTTTTTCCGAATCAAACTGATCTCCATAGTTGACTACGTGAATGAATGAATACAGAAGAAGAATACATATCGTGCTTTTTGATAGCTAATTTATGATCTTCGACTCTGAATGGAATGGGATGGGATGCCCACTTTGACTAATTTAGTGTTTATCGCAGTTCATTCAATTTGTTAATATTGTTAAAAGACACGACATATATTCTTTCACATCGATGCATGTAGATTAATTAATATGGATTCTAGTTTAATTGGCAAAGTGTAGAAATTTTAAACAGAGAAAACACCGAAAATATCAGGGAATTAATTCCTAGAAGTAGGGAACTAAGATGCATCAGCGATTAACAGACAACACATTACTATAGCTGACATCAGTTAGAGAACCATTGGAAAACCAGCTGGGAGTAATGGACAACTGTTTTTTCGTGGCTTGGGATCCTTCATCAGAAACCACCCACCGAGTTTCAAACCCAGCAGGTGAGCTCGTAGACCATGATGAAATCCTCCAACCAATCAAACAAAATCCCTACAAAAACCAATAAATACTTGAACATAACTATCGGTGAAATTTTCCAACTAATCAAGAATAAATCACATAACGAAAAATTTCAAATTCCAAGTCAATAAAAATGATCAATAAAGATGTAAGTTAACAATCAATCAATCACGACAATTATATCATTCATGGAGAAATCAAATAATTTGCCTTCATATTGAAGTCTGCATTGAAGGTGTTACATCTGGAGGGACAACGAAAGCTTCGAAGTTAAATCAACCAGCTGCTCAGAGAACATAATCAAAATGGAATCATTCACCTGATTTTTAAATCTTATAATAATAATTATTATTATTTCAGCGGGGAATTGAAAGTAATCCCGACAGAGATAAGATTAGATATGATATTTTGACGAAAGGAATTTATCAAGGAAACATGAACTTACAGGACCACGATAAGATACATCCTCTTTAATTAAATCAGGATATTGTTTTGAGCACAAAGTGCATAAAAGATAACTTTTATAAATTATATGATGATTAACTGAAGACCATTCAGATGGACTGAATGTTTCTGAATCGTTTGGATATGGAAATAGTGGTGGTAGCAGATACTTCATAAGTTTGGCTAATTGTGTATTCTCAGTGACGCTTTTCTTCGGATAGACGACAGGTGAGTCTGCGTTGTCTACCGCCTCACCAGTAGATGGTGATGTCTTGTTTGTATCAAAAATATGAGAGGTATTCATTTTTGATCGATGGTCATTCTCAGGACACTGAGTGTTGGAAAGATAACTCACATCTTTTAAAATTAAATTATTGACACTGTCTATGTCATTAGGAGGGATCGGGGACGACTGATTGTTCAGTGCTTCATTTAGAGCTGGAAAACAAAACAGAAATGATATTTAGGCATAGACATCATATCAGTCATGTTTCAAGAAGTCGATCGTTTCACTGTACACAAGACAAGTGTGTCCTATATGTTAAACAAAACACGGATAGTATTTTGGTTGTTCTTTTATACTACTTATACAAAGTAAAGTATAAGTAAATTATTCTCAAAAACGAAATTTGCGAGGGATGAAGATAGTGATTCTCTAATTGGTGGATGACGACTAGCAGTGGAATCCAGGATAACGCACATTTCGTCCTATCTGGGACTCATTCGTCAGCCAGTAGATGTACCTGCATTCCCCAGTGAGTGAGTGATCTCACTCTTGTGAATCTGATTCTTGATGGGGTTTATCAGAGTGCAGATTTGAAAAGTTACACATGAGAACGAAACGAGCTTCCATTTCTTTCTGTTCCTCTAGGTGGTGCCGACCCACAGCAAAACTAGTTCACATACTGGCGAGTAGAAGCTCCTAGTGGTTAGCGACTATCTTATTAGTACTCAACATTATCTTCACTAGAAAGCGTAGCAATTCACCTGCCATTATTAAGACTGCCTATCAAAATCAGATAAGTACTTAGATGGTAGCTGGTTCCCGTCCATCCGACAACGTGCTCTCTGGTGCAGTCAAAGGTCGACAGATACAAATTTACGTGTATCTGTGGGAGAAGTTACATTAGGGGGACAGAAAGGGCACACATCCAATTTTCTGAATATATACCGGAAAGCCTACGTCTCAAGGGAACAAATGCCTACAAAATCGACATTACCAGGCATCTCCTTGATACGGATCATGAGATGGAAATCGCAAAATCCTTTAAAATTATCAGTATACAGAAAAGCTCAATTCTCCTCTAGTTCGCCGAAGCAATCTCTATCAGACGCCTGAAACCCGATTTATGCGTTCGGAAAGAAGCAGTTATCAGACTTTTGTTGCAACCCTGGTAACTTGATGCCTTTATTCTCTTTCATTTGCTTACCTAATTCTTGGATTTAAATCCATCCCCTTTGATATAGTGTAATTTTGATTGTCTCTTGTTTCTGTGATTTTAGTTGAACTGAATATATTGTTGCCCAATTTATTAGCTACTCATTATCTTACGCACTTAACATGGATGTGATTGCATAGTATTCAGGACAACAACAACAAAAACTTAAGAAAATTGAATTTTGAAACTAGTGAAATATTTTACTTGTCATTGTCTTGTCATTCATTACGTAGTCGGCTATTTGTGTTCACAAATTTTTCATTCATTTTTATCTGATTACTACTCACACCGACAAATCAATTAACTGAACACCAAAACTAACTAACGAAAAAGAAGACAAACTTTTAGAAATAGGTTCACTTCCTAATATACTAGTAACGTGTGATTACTACTCATCTGCGTTCTGATTACATAACTACGCCAAGGGTTTACCAAAAAAATAAATAAAAATCAATTAAACGATGCCATATACTTATAATTATTTGATTTTGTTGTCTATCTCAAGCAAATAAGTCAATCACTGTGATTATGTATAGCTCATGCACACACGATTACATAATCAATAAATTTTTATATGCACAAAGTCTAACCATGATTCTTATCAATTGATACATTGAGACAGAGAGAGAGAGAACTGTTAGATATTCGATACACTGTAAATATGAAGTGTCATGACCTTTATTCATCTTTTGAAACTATCATCACAAAATGTAACGAACACTTTTGTTTGGAAAAGAAAATCATGTTAGCTGGTTGAAAATGACTTCTGAATTAATATAATAATAATAATAATATGTCATCATCACATGTTAATAATGGTTGAGTTGGTAATGAAAACTGTTAGTGAGACTGTCACACAGATGGCACATACTGATTGATGGAAGGCATAATTGACTGAGACTGAGATGGGATGTCTGGTGTCATAGTAGGATTTAAACAAGTACAGGCAAACTATTCCAGCTGTTAAACAGGTCTGCATTTCCCTAAAAATCTATGTGAATGACTGACTGTTGAATTCACTGTTAAGTGCAAATTTTGTGTAATATAAAATACAATGTGGTATGTTGTTTTTTTCATTCCTTTGCATCCTGAGTGGAAAGTGGGCTTCAAGCTTAAGCTTCCAAGAATCCTCAGAGATGGTGTTGTGTTCTTCCGAGGTAGCGTTGCGTTGCTAACCACTCACGCTTAACTTTCCCTCTTTGACCGGCTTACTACTGGCTAAACGAGGTGTCAAGAGGGCGTCGGCTGGGAACAAGAACCGGACCATGTTCTTGCCTGGCAGGCATTCTACTCCTGAACCACTGACTCAGTTATGTGGTAATTATACAAATGAAATCCAGGATAAAAATATTTGGAATATGAAATGTATCATATAGAGAGCCAGCTCTAGCCAATTTAATCAGTCAGAAATAGAGTGGGTAATAGGAAAGACGAAACAATGGTGTATTCTATGGTGAAACCATCTAGAGTTATCTTGGATGGATTAGTGATCCCAAGGGCGCTTAGTTCGAATCCTGGCCGAGACGCAGATTTTCCATTCACCTTCAGCTGTCACTCATAACAGTAATGTATTCGTCATTGTGGCAAGGTGCATCGGTGGCACAGCGGTAGAATGCTCGCCAACCACGCATGTGGTTCAGGGTTCGATCCCCCACCGGCTCACTTCTTTACCTCGCTAAGCAAGTAATGAAACTAGTAAAAAGGAAAGGTTAGGCATGAGGCTAGCAACCACATACCGAAACTTCAAGCCTCTAGCTTGAAGCCCTCTCTTCAATTAGGAATGTAAAGGAATAAGTGACATTGTGACAAGAAAAGACATGTGGCTTGAAGAGTAATGCAAAAATTTACCTTGAATGCATTTTTCAAGAGCTGGTCTATCTTTATGTTGAGCACTTGTATATTTCTCAATGTTTTTTAATTCCGATAACAAATATCTCGGAATCTGTAAAAGATGAAAAAGGAGATTTAATGAGTTTTCTCAATGAATATAAATTGTCAATAATCAGCCTCGTTTAAAGAACAATTGAATATCAAAAAGGGGACCAAGCACTTGTTTCATCCCACTACAGAAGTCATCATCATCAGCAGGGATTACACACTAAACCGACCTCGTTCTCTATACAGAAACCAGGACCATTAGGTAGACCGGTGACTACACGATTTAAAAAAATAACTCATCTCCAACTTTTGTCAATAAGCAACACAGAGCAGCCAATGTTCAGTGTTGTTGTTGTTGGTGAGTAGGTTTCTACACTCAAGACCGTGTATGAAATTCAACAGTCCCTACTTCTCATGGTAACATCCAGTCCAGACAGGAGTCTCAATACCAGTAGAACAGTGGTGGAACAGTAGAATAATATTTATTTACCGCTGAAAGGCAACATGCTTGCAGAAAGATTTAACGGTGTTTTGTTCGACGCTTGCAAGCAGTTGTGGGTAAGCATTTCTAATGAATTCCACACCACAGAAAAAGAAGTCAGCCATTGCTACAAGGTGGTTTCTTTCCTTGATGAAGTCTACTTTGAAACCAGTCAAATCGGGAGTGCGAAATTAAGGAAGACATCATATTGGAAGCACGAAATAAAAATTCACCGAAGCAAAATGGATATGATCTTATTTTGTTGAGTTATAGGTCATACCTAGCATATAACAGCCAGTGATGCTATTTGAAAACAGGAAAACGTGGTGAAGCATGTCGACAGTGTGAACCGGTAGCTCACTACTTGAAATCTGAATACAATACAATTTCATAACAAATTAAAGATACTAGAAGATATCAACATACCTCTAACGGTAAAGTAAGAAATAATGATAGAATAGGGACATCTGGTTGCATCGCTTGACTCTATAAATAAAGATAAAGGAAATTTTTAAAAATACAAATGAAAGTAAGCACTGGCGGAAATTTAAATTAGGTGTTTCTATGAAGAGCTGTTTAGTTTCAGTGTACTGTGCATCGAAGAATCAACTCTAGGCGACATGAAATTCTAGAAACTGCGTGAAAACTAGAATGCAGTAGCCTGTATGTCTGAAACTCACAGTAGTGCCCATTCATGTGGGTGGGTAAAGTTAAACTTAGGATGACCAGTCTGTAATCTGATAATCTATGTTCCTGGCTGATATGTTATTTTTATAATTCATTTTAGTCTTATGCGTAGGGCTTTAGGCTTGAGCTATGCAGCATCAGTAGCAGTGGTGTTTATTTTTCTAGGGCTGACTAACGCCTAAACTTCCCTCGCTTTACCGTACTTGTCACCAGCCAAGCGAGGTTAAGGAGTGAGTGAGTCGATCGGGAATTGAACCGCGGATCAATTCTATGGTTTGCAAGTATTCTACCACTGGAGATAAGCGACGCCGCTATATTCCACGATCATAGTTATGGAAATTATATTGATGAGAAACTGTGTTAGGAATTCCAGCTTTGTATGATAGAATTAAACTCCACCACACAATGGCCAAATTCACATACTACGCCATTTTGTTAGTGATCTAATTATTAATCTTAGATCCTTTTTTTAATTCCTTTACGTTCCCCCAGTGGAACATAGGGCTTCAAGCTAGAGGCTTGAAGTTTCAGTAGCAGTGGCGGTTATTCTTACGGGATGGGGTTGCTAACCTCATGCCCAGCCTTTCCTCTTTACCGGTCTTATTTATTAATGACTTGGCGAGGTAAAGGCGTACTTCTGTGGCCGGGAATTGAACCCTGGACCACATGCGTGGTTGGCGAGCATTCTGCGCTGTGCCACCGACGCTTAATCCCAGATTACTTTGAATTAATTAATTAATTAATTATTCTAGTCATTGTGTGAATTTATGAATTAGTTACCAATTCTTGTCATGATTTCCATCTTTGATTTGATTGGGGATACTTTATTCTGTGAAACTGCTCACCAGCTCTATTCTGTATATTTCTGTTGATAGATAATCGGCCAGTTTTAAACTGGTTATTGCTTAATGTCTTTGGGTGATCAGCTCTTTAGGACATTTGTGTTGATTGTTTCTTGAGATATGTTCCTTATTTCTCACAAAAATACAAGTTCTGAGTTAGTTTTCAATAATAAAAAAGGTTATAAATCTAGAGGATGGTAGCTACTGTTTTTAATTCTGAGCTATATGGCTATTCATTTCGGTAGTCGCTTAGACACCTGATCTATAAATCCCTATCCGACGGATTGGGGTTTGTAAAAAAAGTTCTTCTCTATTAATGTCTTTTAATTTCAGTTGTCGGATTTCTCCACGAACCAACAACGGTTAGACAGATCACTGAAAACCAGGTAGCACTGGAGAGCTATTTTTCCTAATTTGTGACCCTTCCGTGGTCTGCATCCACGACCACGAGAGGGATCGAACCCTGGACCTCCAAGTTAAAAGATCAAGCTCGTTCACTATTCAGCCACTTGGGCTGGAGAATTCAATGACCCGTAAATCCTAACTCTGTAACCTCGTGAAATAGGTCAACCCTGGCTTCGAGGAGCATCCACTTCACCTTCGGTGTTGCTTATCCTGCTGAAATATGTGTCATGTCTTGATGACTTGCTGCGTCAAGACCTGAGGAAAGCATTTGTTAGTTTAATTGGTGTATGGTGACTAGCAGTGGAATCCAGGATAACGCGCATTTCGTCCTGTTTCGGACTCGTCAGCTAGTGGATGTACCTGAATTCCCCAGTGAGTGATGATGTTCGCACAGAGGCTGGAACCCAGTGCCCTTAGTTTCAAACGCCAAAGTGTTACCCAATAGACCACTTGGGCCACGAGAGCCACCTCTTGTGCAACGGGTCAAATTAATTATTTAATTGAATTTTAGATTTTCCCGTCGATTGACTGGACAAAATTGCTGAGGCCGAGCACTTCAGTCCAATCAATCGACGGGAAAATCTAAAATTCAATTAAGCATTTGTTAGTTATTTGAAGAAAATGAGGACAGGTAACTAGTGAAGTGTACTAGGAACAATATTTGAAACCCATAAAAGGCATTTCTAAGATTCTTCGGACACCCGACTAAATACGTGGTCAAAACAGAATCAATATCCTTAAGAGCGAACTCTTCAAAGATAATAAACAATAATCAATAATTTCAGACCGATAATCTATTAATGGATGTAAATATTTTCAAGCATTGGTTTGTAGGGATTTTGTTTGATGGGTTGGATGGCTTCATCATGAGCTGACATATGTTGGAGAAGCATTGAAAAACCTGGGGAGTACTGGACAACTATTTCGTTCTGGTTTGGGACTCTTCAGCAGTACACACCAGCTGGGGTTCGAACCCAGCACTTTCTGGTTACAAGATGAACTCGTTGACCATTAAGCCACTAGTACGTGACCCAATGGCCCGTGAATTCTAACTTCTGCCAATTCATGACATAGCGCGACTACTTCGCAATGTCTTCTCAGATGAGTTCCTGCTTTACCTTCAACCTGCTGCACCCTATATATATCCATATATATATTTATATATATTGAATATAGCTGACCAACAGTTTCAGAGAATAAAGAATTTCCGATCACGTCAAAGATGGAAATCATGACAATCATTGGCTACTACTTTACTGTTGCACAATTGCTAGAATAATCAATTAATTCAAAACGATTTAAGATAAAAATAAACTGATGGTAAAACTATTTTGCATACAGCCTTAGGGTGGTAGATCACCAATGATATGATTGGTGATGACTGCTGGATTACTAGGCCGGAGCACTATTAACTAGTGAGGTACGAGTCCGACCTGTCAGCAAGATTATTGTTTCATATTCTCAAGAGTTGGTTCACAGGGATTTGACACCTGAGACTAAGAGAGTTCTAGACATCTATTTCGCTGTAGATTAGGACTTTTCAGAAACATGCACCCAGGGGCATTAGGTTACAAAGTTTGACCATTGAATATCTAATTACTCTTGAATAAAGTTCTCAAGCTCATGAATTCAAATTTCTGCCTTCTATTGATATACAGCGCCAATGGAAATACCATAGGCAAATACTTTAATGATTGGAGTTATCGTTTCAAGTCTCTTGAATCTACTTTCACACTACACCTAACTTATATACCATTGTGTGATGAGGGATGTTATATGACCAGAGAAGATTTTTTTTGCATTTCAATAATATCAACAACTGACTTGCCCTGTTCGATCAGTATTGTATGAATTGTCAGAGTCACCAAGTTAAATATAAATTAGGAATAACGTTTCAGATAAATCACGAAGACAGATAACATGAAAAAAAAGCAGATACATGCTAAAGTTTCTCCTCGAACTCATAGTCAAAAGAAGTATGACATACTGTCTCTTTGAATTCCTACACATGAACTGTACTTTCAAAATCAAGTATTGCGTAAATACCTTAGCAGAAAAGCAGAATTTTTGGCCAAGTCAAATTATCCAATGAGATTCACGAACGTAGGTCAATGTTGTATAGCGCCTGATTCATTTCAATGCGCGCCCTTACAAGGTTACGTTTGCAATTCTAGGAGGATAGTGTCTTTCAGTATTGCCTGGACTTAGGCTTGCTTCGAATAGACAGAAGTTGTTCGTGTGGTGGTGTAATGACTCTAAAAAGCTACACTAGGTCAACTGATGGTTTTGTACATCGTTGTGGAATATGCTGGTAGCGAGTTAGTATTAGAGAGGGTAATATTTCATGGGAAATTTTTTTGCTAGGTCGCATCTCTCCCTAGCCCATATTTTGTACATTTTCAATTACTGGGTACTGCTGTCGAGACGGAGAACAGCCTCCGTCCCATGCTGAATTGGGAAATGTTTCTCTCCCATGTTCGGAAAAGATACCTATGGTAACCGTTTTATTTTACTATAAACATACGTTCCCGCTTATCATAAACGCCTCTTTCATATGATTGGTCGGTTCAAGGTCGTTTGCTGATTGGTTGTTACTGGTGTCGAAAGTTTAACTTTGCCGAATTTTTTATCCTAGTGAACAAAATCGCAGGCTTCTACAATAGTAGATACTTCAATCAAAGCTAATCTCTACCCCCCTAGCACCCCCCTAGAAAAAAAATACGGCATTACTAACCTTGAGAAATAATCGTAATTCTGGAAAATGTTTTCTGAGTTGATAAATATACTTCAAACGATCTGGATAAACATTTGTATAATCCATGCACTGGTGTAACAAATCATTGAGAGACATTAAAATAATTGTACCAGGATTATCCAAATGACCATGTACGGGTGGATTCAATGGGTTCAATTGATGATTACATGATGATGGATCTTGTTGTGTAATCATCATTTGTTTCCTTGGTTCGTCTTGTTGACAAAGCTGTTCAGTAGCACTGTTGTCACTTTTGAAATCCTCTGATAGCTGCCTTGCTTTATTATTATTATTATTATTATATTATTGCAATCGTCATCATTTGGTTTGCTTTCTCGATTAACGGTACTTTTACGTAATTTAAACAAAAATGACAATCGTTTGTGTATACCACCGTTTTGTGTAGTATGACTGTTATTCTTAGAATTCATAATAGTACCACTGCTATTCCTTCTGTATTCATCAAGTTTATCTTTCCCATCAAGTAAACCAGTATTATTATTGTTATTACTATTATTATTGGTAAGAGTATTAGTATTGCTCCCTCTGTAAGAATCATTCCGTAGAGGCAATAATGGAGATGGTGTTGAAGATATTGAAAATCTTGATTTGCTCTTATTATTGATTGCATACTGTCTAGCAAGTGGATCTGATGAAGACGAGGTTATAGTTGAAACATCGTACGGCAGACAACCATTTTGCAGATTTTGTTTCATTTTACACGTTTCAGAGCCAATCTAAGCAGGTGAAATCAATAAATAAATACAAGAGATTATTATTTACTGTACAATTTACTGTCAGTTGTCTAGAAATGTTCACTGTGGTTTCGATATAAGTAATAATAATTTTCATCCTCTGAATATACAAATGTGTTTACAAAATTTAAGGCTTAAAACATTGACAAACATGAGAAGTAAAATAGAGCTCATCAATCACAAAAAGATTAATGCTAACAATTGGGGTACAACTAAATGTCCATCCCAAGCAAAATACTAAGTCGCATCATCCTGGAGAGAATCAAACATGCCCTAAATGAAAAACTTCGAACGGAACAGGCTTGATTCAGGAGAAACAAGTCATGCATTGATCAAATCGCCACATCACGGATCGTCATTGAACAAAGCTTGGAATGGCAGTCACCTCTCCATCTCACTCAACTTCACCAACTTTGAAAAGGCCTTCGACAGCGTCGATCGAGAGGTGATTTGGCAACTATTTCGCTACTAAGGGGTGCCACCGATAATTATACATCTCATCCAACAGCTGTACGACAATGCTGCATGCCAAGTGATCCACAACGGGAAACTTGCGGAATCCTTCGAAGTGAGGATAGGAGTAAGACAAGCTGGCTGCCTACTATCTCCAATGATTTTGCTGATTGCAGGAGACTGGATAATGCGACAAACAGCGGTGGGCAATGAGGAAACAGGCATTAAATGGACTCACACAAAAGAGACTTGGAGGATCTGGACTTCGGCGATGATATATGTCTGATTTCCCACAAACTGGAAGATATGCAAGCGAAAAGCAACAAGTTGGCAGAAGAAGCATCAAAGATAGGACTTTGCTTCAGGTGAAGATAGAGAAAACAGTGGTGATGAAGATTCCTGGCCAACACCACCAACAGCAACAACAACAACGGAGAACAATCAGCATAAATGGGAGGAACGTGAAAGAAACAACCTCTTTTACCTACCCACCTAGGAAGCACCGTCTCAACTACAGGAAGGCGGAACTGACGAGGATATCAAAGCAAGAATCGGAAAAGCAAGACAAGCTTTCACTACTGTCAAGTCTGTGTGGAGGTCAACAGCACTCAGCATCAAAACGAAGATAAGATCCGGATTTTCAACTCCAATGTGAAGTCAGTGCTACTTACTATACGGATCAGAGACTTGACCAGCGTGTCATAAAGAGCATCTCAAACAAACTACAGACCTTCATTAACAGAGGAGATGAAAACGTGTGGACAGACTTGGAGCAGGTGAAGACTCTAGCAGAGAACCGAACGCAATGGAGACGCACGGCTGAAGCCCTATGTTCCTCTAGGAATTAAAGGAAACAATAATAATAATAAATGATCCAGTCGAATTTTGTTTACCACACAACATTTAGCAGTTTTTATATGAGATGATCAACGTCGTAGTTGCCTACCTAAACATTTGTAATCGAAGAGAGACTCATAGTTATTACTCACTAGCTGTTATGTACAAGAAGCTGTAGCAAAATAATCTAAGCGAGCGATTTTCAACCTCCTTATGTCGGAATCTAAACTCATACTGAGGTTAAAACAATCAGATGCTAACATCAATCCTTACCGCTGTGTCCATGAACCTGGGGTTAGTCTATTCACAATTACAAATAAATGTCAGTAGTAACTAAAACCTGAATATCTTAAACAATAAATCATATTTGTGCAGCAACTCTGCGTCTTCGATCATCAGTGCCTCCGTAGAATTGCTTGCATCCGATGGCATCATAGTGTAATTAATTCTGAGGTCTGGAAGCGTGTGTTTGGACACATTAGAGGTTACCATTCATTGGGTGTAGTCATCGCGAAACACATGCTTCTATTGACTGGACATGTACTACAAATATCATTCCAGAAGTTCCCGTACTCGTCGCTATTTGCATGCAGGTGGTTAGCTTATAACATGTAGTCGTGGGATGAAGGATATTTCGGCTAGGTTAGTATCAACTGGTACATCACGACTCCCTATTGCAATCCAAGAGATAGTTCAAATCGCTGGCTCGAAACCTTGTCAGATGTCGACAAGAATTGCAATCAGTGACGAATTGTCTGCAGTTAACTTCTTTCTTCCCTTTCTGAAAGCATTGTGCAGCAGTGAGTGGTGAATGATCTTGATAAATACGCTTGCTTGCTTTCTGGATGACCTCCATCAGTCATTCTATCCCTTGTTTCTTTACATATATCTTAGTTTTGTTATTTCGGTGTGGCACATCTCTTGGTGCCCATGATGTGTATCACGTTGGTGTTTTAAATAAATAAATAAATCCTATTTTTAGTGAAACAAGAAGTATTGTTGTATTTTCTGACCTGGATGGTTTAACTGACAAGCTTTCATTGTCTCCTCTCTGGTCGCCTACAGGGATAACTTTAATGTGAAGTGAACCTTTTGAAAGTTAACTACGGATGAAATGTTCGTCTAGCCTAGTGACCTCGGGTGCTGTGCAGAATTCACAAAGCTCACTCCACACTGAAGTTAACGCTCAAAATGTCTTCCAGAAGGACATGGAACTTTTCAGCTTAAGGAAAAAACAACCGAGTACGTACTACCTGTAGCCAGCCAAGAAAGAACACAGAGAACAGGGCAAAATGGAGATGTGCTGCTGAAGCCCCTGTGTTCCACTCGGGACCCAAGGGAATAATAATAATAATAGTATTAATAGTTACGTAACAACTAAGTTGACTCACTTCAACAATATTATGAAACAATGCATTTAAATCATCTGGATGAAAGTTAGCAATATTCTGTAGACCAGTACGATAAGCTTTTATGCCATTCATTAAATCATTCGATGTATTTGTCAGTTTAGTTAATAATCTTTCAACTGCCCATTGTCGATTCGCTTCATCCAAACAAACATCTTGCCATTTAAGTTTGAGTATTGGTGGCGCCAGTGTTAACATACGCCGGCGTCTACTCAAACTGCTACTTTCATTTCTATTTTGTAGATTATTGATAGTTTCATCATTCATAAGATCTTCATCAATACAACGTTCTTCGCATAGCATAACTGTACTGGCAGGAGTAACTGTTCGAGGAAGATATGAATTACTGGATGTATTTCCTGTATCGACTGATTCTGTTATTGATTGTTTAACTGTTGTACACTGGCCATTGGATAAAGGATATGAGTAGTTATGACTGTTGACAGAGTTCGTGTTGTCATTTAAACAAGTATTATTATTATTATTATTCATTATTCATATCTGGTTTCTCCTTTACTTGATTGTGTCTACCAGAAGAGACCATAAATTTGAATTTTTCACTAAATCTTAGCTTAGAATTATTCTGAGCTGCAAAGACATAAATTTAAAACACAGAAATACATCAAATATATGTATGTATATATAATCTAGAATCACCCTATCAATTTGGTATATTACTAAATCGAGATATAATCCTCCACATTTTTGATTGCACACTAGTCAGTAACTAGTGTCTTGCGTCTAGTCCTATTTTCGGTGCAGACTGAATTCTATCAGTCATGTTTGCAATGTGGCCATCATGCTAGGTGGCTCGCCATTACGGTGCGCTGTGAATTGTTGGTATTAGATGGTTGGAGGCATTCGACAGGAAGCCTTGGACCTAGGTTTCGTGTTAGTTGGAACTCATCAGCAAGGCGTATTTGCAACTTTGAAGGAACTGATGTCCCTTCTGAGATTCGAATCCACGTCACTCAGTGCTGCAGTCAGAGACGTTACCAATGAGCTATTCGGGCTAGCGACTGACCTCCTGTAGGACTGTATTGAATATTTTTTTAATCCTCCACATCTCTACCACACTGGAATAATCGACTTAGGAGTAGTAAATCACTGTGAATAGACCTGCTGGATTGAAAACGCTTTCTCCATAAAACTAGACTTCAAAGTCACATTAGTTCATTATTTTACAGTTTATGATGATGTATCTCCAGTGCTGTGCATCGGTGGTCCAGTGTTCGAATACTCGTCAACCAACCACATGGTCCGGGATTCGACTCCCATCCGACGCACTCCTTAACTTTGCTTAACCCACTTTATACTCGCAATAGAGAAGGGAAGTTGGATGCAAAACTAGCAACCCCACCCCGCTAAAAAAATGAACACCACTTCTACTGAAAATTCGAAGCACAAGGGCGAACACAAGGGATTATAATAAAAAATAATAATAAACAATCTCCAGGGCAATGAAAATAGGAACAGTACATATAACCTGGAATATATCGTAGAATTCCGCTGTAGCAGTTAATCCCCGTTTAAACTAGTTTGCAATAAATGTCATCTTACCAGGCTAAATAAGGCTGATATGCTTACATGTATAGTCTAGTCGAGGACATGGTTCTTCTAAGCGAGAATAGGCCACATGAATTCCTTTGCGTTCCAAGTGGGACATAGGACCTGAAGGTGGAGCTCTGAAGTCTCAATAGCAGTGATTGTGTTTTAGGGAGTGAGGGTGCTAGTTTCACACGCCCAACCTTCCATCTTTACCGCGATTACTGCCGCCTAAACCGTCAATGAGTACACCAGTCGAGAATCGAACCTTGAGCAGTGTGCATAGTTGGCAAGCATCCTACAGCTAAACCACCGACTCAAGCACAAATAAACCATATACTACTTTGTCAGTTAGAGAACCATTGAAAACCAGGGAGTACTGGACAGCTGCTGTTTCATCCTAGTTTGGGAATCATCGGCAGTAAGCACCCACTGGGATTCGAACCCAGGACCTTCCGGTTACAAGGCAAGCTCGTATACCATTCAGCCACTGGGACCCGATTCAGTGGCTCATGAATTCTAACTTCTACCAATTCGTGATTTAGCGCGACCCATGAGCCATTGAATCGGGTCCCAGTGGCTGAATGGTATACGAGCTTGCCTTGTAACCGGAAGGTCCTGGGTTCGAATCCCAGTGGGTGCTTACTGCCGATGATTCCCAAACTAGGATGAAACAGCAGCTGTCCAGTACTCCCTGGTTTTCAATGGTTCTCTAACTGGTATCAGTCCGTGATCAACTCGTAAAACATAACTAATCCTTACAAACCAAACTATAGAAAATATACTACTTTATAATTTTTCCACAGCTACCTCATTACTTTCAATATTTCAGTTTCATCTGTGAACCCGACATTTTTCTAGTGATATATCTGTGATTAACTGGTGTAGCATCTTCGTCAACTCCCTCAATGTCAACGCACCACTTCACAGATGTGCACTTAAGTTTGATTAAAGCTTCTAGGAATGTCTATCTAGTGGAAATATTATTAAACTGAGACAACATGAAAAAGCAAATGCAAAGTCACATCCCTGAGTATTATGTTCGTAAGAAAGTGACTAGCATCCATATTAGTAGGCATTTAAAACCTATAAGTTAAGTGTTTTGAAAGTGCTTGGGAATTTTACTACACCAGAACATATTTCCACATGCGTCTAGTACATAAATCTAATCAGTATAGTGTTTATTTCCAAAGTCTTCTGAAGATAAATTGTGTTAGCATCAAAGTAATTAAACTTCTCACATTTCATTCATATATATATATATAACTTACATGGTAATTCTGTTTGACAATTAGGTACTCCAATGTCTAGAATTACCGCTTTATCTGGATGACTTTCTGCAGCTTCATACATCCATCTGACAACTTCTTTCAGTGTAATTGTACAATCCAAAGGTTGATTTCCAATCCCCAGGAGATAAGCACCAACTGGTAAGCCAGCCAGATCAGCTGGTGAATTTTTTCTTACAGAATGAATACGAAATAATCTCTGCATTGGTAGGCTGTTATTGTTTTCACTAAACAATGTTGTTTGATTCGTTGTCGGTGATGTTAGTGGTGTACTTGCAAACTGTTGAAGATTGAATCCTGCCATTTGAGTAGTCAGTGTGAAACCATAACCTGAATCCGCCGACTTGGGGATTGTAATCTGTAATTTGAGGCAAAGTACAAAAATGCACAGAAAATATTTGTATCTTTGATAGTGAGGATAGATTAGCGGAGTTAAAATGCTTGTGAAGACTAATTTAGAACTGTGAAGTGACAGCTGAAATCGGAGCTAGGGTGAGATTCAAATAAATGACCTCAAAATTACAATGTGACAATCGACCAGTGGAGCTTTAGAAAATAACTACCTTTGGTATTAATGGCGTAATCTATCTAAGATACTTACGTTTGGTACGTTGAAATCGGTGTGGAGAAACATGACACTAAACGCAAGAAACGAGATGTAAGTCTTTGACACAAATGTCAAGTCAGTGCTTCCACGTGGTTCATTAAAAGGATTTCCTGCAAGCTAATGAACACTCTCACCAACACCTATCTTCGCTGCTTCGATACTGAAGACCGGATGACCAAAGAATTCTGGCAGCGAATTAATCAAGAACCTATTAATTTTAAAAAAAATTTTGATTATAGCTTGATTCCACACCGTATTTTTGGTACATGTATGAAATTTTCAGCATGTGATATCGGTATCCCAAATTTTGTAGGCCGACCATTGATATCAGGTGTGCGTCAGCAGAGGATCGAACCCGGACCATGTGCTTGGTCGGCGACAGTCCTAACCGCTGTATCACCGACGGATGTACCTAATACATATGCAGAAGGAAATGGAGATGGATAGGAAATAGACTGACAGGCAGGGCTTTAATTTGGAACCAAATTAGAAAGCAACAAGTTGGACATCCGAAGATAACAAACAGAGCAAGACGTCTGTAGAGTAGACATTACTTTTGTGGGCAGCCGTGAAGCCGGTTGAAATTGATGACAGAAGGTCAAGTGCCATGACGATGCGATGCTGAAGCTCCAAGTTTCACTCACAAAGTGAAGGATAAATAAAAGTAATAATACTGTGTTTGAAAAGTAAACAAGGTGGAAGAATTTCGAACTCAGTTCCCGGAACTGGTCTTTCATATTCCGGGCTATGAACCACACTTTTTACTGTAGGAAAGTTGGTGATACTGCCTAATTGTCCAGGTAGATTGGGTGGGGTTCGAACATGGCTGAAAACCAAGCGCTTAAGCCAGTGAGTGGGCCAAATCACCAAAAAATGATAATCAGATGAATTCAATTAATATGAACAATATACTCACCTGGAGTCTCTTTAAATCTCCTGAATGAAACAGTGCAGAGTCCCGATTATCGCATCCATGTAAAGAAGATATTGTCGAAACACTAGCAGATGGATTCATAACTTTATTCATTTCAGATGTCAGTGATTCCGTATTATGCGAATTGGATGAGGCAAGGAATGACAGCTTTTCTGACTCACTACCCTTAGACAAACTTGATGCTAGAACAACTGACATATGTCGACGATAACAAGAACTTTTTCCAAGTAAATAATACCACTGAGGTTTTGAAAAATCGTCAATATTTATAACTGACGGTAGACTGATCGAGGATCTTTCACTTGAAATATAATCTAAATCTCTTTTCTGTAGATAGAACTCCCGAGAAACTGATGTATCCAGCAGATTTACAGACTTCTGAGTTAAATGATTCAATAGTTCAATAGATTTTTCAGATTTTTGTTTTAATCTTTTAATATCGAATGACATTCCACCAAGGAAAATTGCATTTTCATAACCAAACCTGTGTTAATTTATTATTGATAAAATGATAGTAGAAATAAAGACAAATAAATTAAGTATATAGTCCACAGAATGTATTTATGAGTAAGTTTTATGCTCAAATCAAATGAGACGATGATGTAACTAATAATTGTACACCACCCACTTATGTATTACATATATATTATTACTAGAATGAACTCAAGGTCACTTAAGTAATTGGCTAAGCTTATAATCTTGATAAAGATCAGATAACACTGAGAACATGTGCAGTGCACGCGTTCAGAGAGAGTCAAAACTCAAAAGAGAGACATAAGCACACACACACGGACATTAGCACACATACACACACATACACCTCTAAACTACATATACATGTACCAGCATTTAAACAATAGCGCTACTTGAACAGAGTTTGGACAAGTTTATCTAAGCAAAATACCTAAATGAAAGTGGGTATCTAGTTTCACAAAATTAAATCACAACTCATGTGGTGTAAAATAAAATAAAAGTCAGTATATTTAAAAGACTTATTTATCTCTTACAAAAATATCTATTCATTACAGTTTGTATGCCATAAAAGTTTTCAACTTTTCCAGAAGTCTATTTCTTCTAAATAGTTAGAAGATATTTAAGAAATGCGCCAGAAAGTTGGTCGTATAGACCCGGTCGGTATGTTGCCACAACTTATGTCCTCATTTTGCCTACACGATGATTAGCCATTCAGAAATTTCACACTACACTTCAAATCGGTGTTAGGCGGTTGGAGTCATTTGGTACACAAACCACAAGAACTAGGCTTCGTAATTGCTATCGCTAGTCAAAAAGACATGAGTCTAAGCTCGAATGGATTGTTTCCTCATTGGAAACTTGGATCAGCATAGATCACTGAAATATTCGGGCTTACAACTGACCTTCTATAGGACCATAGTGAAATCGTTAGCTGGTCACTAGAGTATAACCAATTATTCTATAATATATCATAATGCTACGCAAACTTGTTGACTACCCAGCCACTAGGACGTATCGTGAATTCCAACTTCTTCCAATTTGTGGCACACAGCGCAGTCGCCAACTAATGTTATCGGCGATTATTTCTCTTCGAAGACCCAACTTGAAGTACCCAACTGCTCCTATGACTTCTCTGACCGAAGTCAGCTAATGAAGAGACTTGAAGTGATATAAGTATAGAACTTGGGCACTGTGGTAGAGTGTAACTCCATTATGGATAAGATTTTATTTTGATAAATCACACAGTGTTACACAGTAATATTAACTGATACCAACGTTTCGAGCACAAACTATTGCTCATAATCATATCAAGTTACTCACACAACTTTTCCTTCATTTATATATATGTATGGAATTGACTACATATTTGAATAAAAATCAATATGAGTGTTATTGATCAAATACAATTAGATGGGAAATAAGACGAGTGTTTTTTATAGTCATAATAAGTAACTTGTTAGGATGTTGTGATGTGCTTAATTGAAATATAATTTTGAGATTATTTATTATCCTCTTCTGATTTGACTGACTGGTGGTAATAATATCTTCCATATTTCTGGTATTTGCATTGAGTCATTTCTGTTGCATGTGTTGGGTGTAGATTCAATGAACCAGGATTCAGTAATCAATCTCTCTCTCCACCTACATAGATTACTTCTTAGAATCTTAACCCTCTCCCACCCTATTGTGTGGTTGTGTGTTATTGCATGTAGTGCAATTGCTGAGCTTTTTTCTAAATTACTTATCTTCTCGGGGTCAACCATTCTTACCTTGGCTAAATTCTTATGTTCTGACAATCTGACTACCCCCGATCTACTAGTTTGACCTATATAGTTGACCTCACAGTCATTGCAAGGTATTTTGTAAATTATATTATTTTGTTTAATTGGGTCCACCAGGTCTTTTAGCCTACAGAGCTTGTCTCTGAGTGAGTTTGTAGGTTTGAATGCCACCCTAATTCCTGCTTTATTTAGAATCCTACGTAGGGTCTCAGATGTCCCCTCCTTATATGGTATAACAGTAGATGACTTATATTCTCTCTTATTTATGTTATCATTACTAGTTTCACAATTATTTTTATTTTGCTTTTGGCCTTTTTCGATCTTCCTAATGAATTTTATGGGATAGTTATTTAACACCAACGCCTCTTCTATCTGTTTTTTATTTCATCATTTAGGTCTTTTCTTGTGCTACTTGTGAATCAAATCCCTGCAAACTAACACTTGGATAACAGAAATTAATCCGATCACAAATATGTGATCTGCTTGACACCATAAATCGCAATCGAGAAAGCCCGCATAAATGCAAGATGCTGTTTACTGATTGATTGATTGTCATGATTAGCTGGATACCAATCACATCAACAACCCCTTTCAAACTGATCCGGCTTCCTGAGCCAAGTCTAACTGGATACACTACTGATGAGCTCAGTCCCGAAAAAAGGGGAAACAGTCGTCTAGTCTATAGATCACTTCGATCTGGCTATCAAACACCACTGGTTGATGAGATGGACGTCCAACTACTCATGTTGGTCATTCAGTAGTATACAGCATCATGCATTTATAAATTATCTTTTCTCTATGATAATCTCTGTGTAACCTACTATCTGAGATTTGATCGAACTAATTTCGAAGAAGCATCCATCAATCAGCTACAGTTAAGCCTTCTAAGCATCAACATATATATGCACACACAGCTCCTTTATCCGAGAAGTTTTACATATAGATACTTTCATGCTGTATGCTAACACTTCAGTTGGTGTGTAAATTACCAGAGAGAGAAATGCATGATACCCAGAATAATGATAATATGAAGTGAACGTTTAGCTGGTAAAGAAGTCACACTAGATGAGTGTTTTCCATCGTCACTGTATTACGGATAATTTGGTCATCATCACACACTCGTCTTCAAGTTCTCTATCCATGATAAATTCTCATTAGAATTACGACAAGTCTATCTCGCATCTCTAATCACTAATGAATAATTAATCAGTAACCGGAATTTTGATATAAGTATAAAACCTTGTGGTAGAGTATAACTCCATTATATTATTATTATTACTATTGTTCCCTTGGGTTCCTAGTGGAACATAGGGCTTCAACTACACGTCTCCACTTGCTTCTGTCTTCTGCTATACTTTTCACTTGCATCCATGTTAATCCATACTGTTTCAACTCCTTTTCACACGATCTCCTCCATGTCACCCTTGGACGTCCCACTCACCGCTTCCCTTTCGGGTTCCACTCGAGCTATGGCCTGACGCGCGATATCACCCAGCGGCCTCTTCAGCCAGCGAGTGTCCAATCCATTTCCACTTTCTCCTGCATATTTGTTGGGCGATTGGTTCTTGTTTTGTTTGTTCCCATAGTTTCGTGTTGGTGATTCTTTCCGGCCATCTGATCTTGAGTATAGAGCGAAGACAGCTGTTGATAAAGGTCTGCAACAGGCTGTTGGAAATATTCTTTGTGACCCGCCAAGTTTCTGATCCGTATAGAAGAACTGACTTGACGTTTGTATTGAAAATCCGAATTTTGTTGTTGATGCTGAGTGACGAAGGCTTCCAGATTGGTTTCAGGTCAATAACACTCATATTATTATTTCTGAATGTACATTATCCTATATTGATTTTTATTCAAATATTTAATCATCAGTTTCACTCATCTATATAAATGAAGCAAAAAAGTTGTGTGAGTGACTTCACAGGATTATGAGCAACAATGAATTGTGCTCGAAACGTCGATATCAGTTAATATTACTGTACAACACTGTGTGATTTATCAAAATAAAATCTTATCGATAACCGGAATTTTAGTTTGTGTGGATTTTACTGGCTTTTGAAGGTAAATTCTTCCCTGATGTTGAGACAGTGGGTGTGTACACTACTTAAAAGCCACAGACTAGGATAAATTAGCAGTTCAGTATTCAGTGAGCCGCATAGCTCAGGTAATATATCATCACCTGGCCAGTAATCCGGTGATCGTTGGTTGAAGTACTGCAGTGACCTAAGTTTTCACCTTGCCTTCAAATCTTTGGCGTTTATTTGAGTCATGATATTTAGTGGCATATGTACCCTGTTAATGAAGTTATCACCTGGTAACGAAGCACACGTGGTTCACATAGATGAATAATTTACACTCTCAGTGATCTAAATTTGTGAAATAACGCGTACAGCTGAAATGCGACACCATAGGATGCTGAATAGTAATTAAATCTCAAAGAAAATTTTAAATGAAAATAAAGATCAATACATAATGTGAAATTAACTCAAAAATGTGTATTATTCATCATACAAAAAAGTGAATCAACTCACTTGGACTGATTTAGATATAATTCAATGTATATACGATGATTACGAGCTACGTGTGAAATTTCACTATGACAGGACAGTCGATCAATAGAAACAGAAAGAAAGGTTATTCATAATACATAAGTATTTAAAAAAAATTTGATACCAGAATCATTGTTAGAAAATTAACATGAGGAATCCTAGTTTTTGACTATTTCTATGACATAGGGGTTATAAATGGGACTTGAAATAAAGGCAGTCTGAAACAGACACGTTCCATGCAGAACCATCCTAGATAAAACTAGAAGTAATATACATGTTCTTAAACCAAAGAAGTCCTGTGTTGTGAACACTATAAGCGACTTTTTATTCCTTGAATACGCATCTAGTTCTGTTGGTTGAGTTGAAGTGCGTGTGCATTTATTCAGGTTTGCGGCTGCATCCAGTAAATGAAATTATAGTTATTCTTGGTGGAAATATCATGCATCTCTGTCTCTGTCTTCTGTCTGGATTCAACATAGAACTTGGCACCGAAGTGCAGCAGTTCGAGTTGCCACGTTCCAAATAGCACACAAAGGTAGACAAGAAAATGAGTGAAGAGAATCATCAGTAGAGTTTCGACAAGTATAAGAGTGAAACAGAATGAGTAATGGTAGAAAGGAATATAAGACTGAATATTACAGAGACTGAATACATCTGCGCCATTGACAACGATTTTGAGCCATGTCACCTGTTGTCTCCAGCCATTGATTCTTAGAGTCCCGAGGGCGGGCCCCAACCCGGAAGTCTGCATCTCCCTACCTGACTCAGTTTAACTGTCAAGGATTTCATGGATTGATTGATGCCATGTTTTTGTTTGGCCACCACTTACTCTTTTCCAACCTGCACCTATATCAGCTAGTAATGCCCGTCGGTGGGGGGGAGGCGATGGTTAGGCATGCGCAGCACGTGACCTAGCCATCTCAATCTATGTAACTTTATAGCCTCGTCGATTGATTTGATTGATATCATGCATCGAGATCTTATTGCTACCTAGACTGAATACAAGTCACACAGATTGGTGAGATAGTTTAACCTAAGTCAGTTGGATACGAATACTTATAAAGTTAAGCGACAGTAGCCAATGTATGTAACAGTGTACTCTTAGTAATCAGGAGTGAAATTTAAGATGGGCGCCAGAATTTTTACCGTAATGACACCGGTTTGCTATCTCAGTAAAAAAATTAACACTGTGTTATAATTCGGTCGCTTACTTAATTTCACTGTTAGCCACTAACGAAAAAAGTAGCAAAAATCTAACTAGAGAAAATATCGAAGCATTCGCTCAAAAGCACTCTTCAAATGTCAACAGTGGCTTATACATCCAGTAACGTGAACGAGTAACAAGAATGATCAGAGCATCTAGTAACAATGGCAGACCCTAATACAGTAGGGAATCTTGAGAAGAAATTAGCAATAGCTGTGTATGCAACAACACAGTCGCATAACAGGATCGAATAGAGCAGGAATCAATAGAACTTGTATAATCGAATGTAAGCAGGCCGATAGGATCTCTGATTATTCAGTTGTCTGTCTGTGCATGATTCTGTGTGATCGTGACACATACCCAACAAATATTTACATGGTGACTTAGTGTTCGCTTTCTACTCCTAGATCAAAGAATCTCCATTGTGTTTTTCCCGAAGGAAAAAATAACAATCTCCACACAATGTGTGGTTCTCTTGTGCGAATTCAAGAAATTTGCAGCACATCATTCAGGATCTCCCATTACATATGCTTCAGACTGCCCAAAATTACTAAGAAATCGAACAACTAGGCGTTTACAGTTCACTACCCCTTAACTATTGGGAATCTATTGTTCTAGCAAAACCCCTAATGCACAATATTTTATAAATAAAAAGTTGTGTCACTTACAATGAAAACTTTTCATTAAAAACTGGTGCTGTACAATCCGGTACAGATTTTGTACGAAGTTGATAAGCAGTACAATGAGGTGCATGTTTTGGTGCAATTCGAATCTGTAAAAGTAAAAAATGGTATCTAATGTCGTTGTATGATTTATTATGAAGAAATATTAACTAAGAATGAATACCAACTTTACAATATTGTATGATACACTTTCGTGTCATATCATAGTTTTACTAAGATCGGCATTCCGAAAGAATCACCAATCAATACTATGTATTAGCACAGCGGCCTGCTTAAAACTTGCGCTACTAAAAACTGCCATCTCTCTATTGCATATATTTTCACTCCTTCGGTTTGTTTTAGTCGATTTAGATATGACCTCTACTTATGGTATTATCTACTGTTGTGTGTACCTAAAATGTTCACAAGCTCCTGATTCGCAAGTTCCTACTACACTTGAGGAATGGCCTGGTTGTGGTTAGCAACGTGTCCCAATACATGAGATAGCTGCTCCTGCGTTATGTCCTTGGGTCTCAAAATGTACTTCTGAACATCTCACAATTGGCTTCCAACTAGATATCGTGGATTTCTTGAAGGAGACAAAGCGGATTCATCACAGAGACCATTGTTTTACAGGAAATACTGTCATTTAATATTTTACTTGAAGATATTGTACGAAGGAAAGATATCATGCAATAAACTCCTTTGAAATTTTCTGTAAATTTTATAAATACTGTCCAGATTAAAGATGTTTATTATTATTGTTTGTAGATGACACTAAATATTCTTGGTCGAATATTCCGTGGTGATGACTGATGACTGGGTAATTTCAAACAATGATGAAACAGTCATTCGCCTCCACTTCTTCTCAAGAAATGTCCAGTTGATAAGAGAAATGTTGTTATCAGTTTACTCATTTTTATGTCATGAAGGATGTTTTGTCTCAATTGTCGAAATGTTTGAAATTATAATGACCATATACCCTTCATTTTCCTATTCCATTAGAAGTCTTTCCATCTCCTTATCAGTGGTTAAATTTTCGCCTTTTTTTTATCACCTCATAGCCTTTATGTATCATAATTATCACATTTTAACGAAATTTATTCACCCCAGTAATTATTTCTGTCACCGTGTTGATATGTGAATATACCCACTGAAAGAAGTGACATTAATTATCATATACTGCATGAGAATTCAGCTGGCGAATTTCACCTATATATTAAAATATGGTAATAATAATGATGATAAATTTATTCTGGATTAAGTGTCCACGCAATGAACAGAAATCTCAGAAATAATTTTCTTTTACGAGTTGATCACTGATTCTCGCTAGTCACTCGCTGCAGGACGGAGTTTCCTGGAGTTCTGTTGAGGTCCATCCAGTCAAGTGTGAGGATGGAACTCCCACCGATGATATCGGTTGTTGGTCGCGCTAAAAATCACGAATTGGTAGAAGTTAGAATTCATGGGTTGGTCATTGAATCGGGTACCAGTGGTTGAGTCGTATACGAGAAGGCCTTGTAACCGGAGGGTCCTGGTTTCGAACCCCAGTAGTGCGGGTGCGTACTGTGGATGAAACAGCTGGTTGTCCAGTACTCCCCGGTTTTCAATGGTTCTCTAACTAATATCAATCCGTGATCAACTCGTAAAAAACAAAACTAATCCTTACAAACCCACTATCGAAAATTATCCTGTCCATCCAGGACCTTCAGGTAAAATAGCAAACTATGGAATATCATGTGACACAGTGCTGTTCCATTTAAAGCGCAGACTAATCCCACATAACATGTTTCCTTCATCTCCGAGAAATTCACACCGATAGTTTGAAAGTCAACCAGAAATGTGCATGAGTATATTTTGCGACTCAAAACCATCACTGAATGGTTTGTGTTGGATGGATGAAAATTCAAGTAGCCCAATGATTCAAGCAGGCCGCCAAATGTAGATTTTGTTTCTGTCCTTCTTCAAAAGCATAAAAGTTGATCTCCTCAGTGTTGAAAGAGATACTGCATTGATTTGACAGGAAAATAAGGAATATTTTGTTAGTAGTCTGTCATATGGGATAGTTGTTTCATTCGAATTTACTATTTTTGACACCTTCAAGAAACCACAAACCACCGTCGAGTTTAGTCGGCAGTACACTACAGTCTCTAGTCAACTGAATAGCTTGTGGTAACCCGTGAGTTTCAAATTCTCTCAGTCAGTATCCATCAGACGCTTGTCGGAAGCTAGCTTCCAGAGGACTTCTATGAACCTATATAATGGAGATTCATCACAAGTGGGGTTCAGTAAGTTAGATTTCAGGACAACATATCATTTTCTACGTTGCCACCAAAAAAAATTTAATCGCTGTTGCATCGCGACAAACCCGCTGACTGAGGGTTGACGCGCTTCCACCTAAATTCCATGGTACTATATTTGACCCCTGTCATATTCATGTGTTTAACTACTGTCGGTTCCTCTAAATAATATAAAAGAGGTGACTTTTGTATTTCCTAACTAACTTATTCGTAGAACTAAAAGTACTGCTCTAGTGTATATATTCCAACCAGGTCAATGAACTTGGGTACTGGATAAGTAATTTTCATTATTATAACAGCTTTTATATTTCCCAGTGAATAGAAAACAAAACAATGTTGTTTTTACTTACCTCCACAAACATGCTATAACCTTCATCCACAGGCACCTGAAGGTAACGAGCCTGTATAACTAAGGAGAGGAAGATTAAACAAAAAAAGGACGATTACCTTCTATAAAAAAAATCTCAAAATGTTGTATATATATTTAGATAATGCATTAAACATTTCACATACGAGGGTAACAGTTTTTCCACTTATCAGTTCACATACTTGACGATTTTTCCTAACAGTCATGATTAAAGTTTGGACTTCTTTCTCATGACTATGGCTTCAGTAAGTGTGAAATATGGCCTGTCAGTGGTAGATAATAGCCTGCTTTACAGCTGAAGATCGTTGGAGACCATGGAGCACTGAAAAGCTGTTTCGTCCTATTCTGGAACTCTTCATCGGTGCACATATACGAACCCATCGGGGATCGAACCCACAACCTTCCGGTTACAAGACAAGCTCGTCTACCATTCAGTCACTGGGACCCGATTCAGTGGCTAGCCCATGAATTCTAACTTCCAGCAATTCCTGACTTAGCGCGACAACCGACCAATATCATTGGTGGGAATTCCATCCTCTCACTTGACCTCACCGATCACGACTTCTTACTAGAACTCCAGGAAACTCTGTCCTTTAGCAAATCACTAGCAAGCATCAGATTAATTTTCAAGAGTTTGGTTTGTAAGGATTAGATTTGTTTATATGAGTTTGACCACGGATCAGTTAGAGAACCATTGAAAACTGGTACTAACACGTGATCAACTGGTAAAAACAAATCTAATCCTTACAAACCAACAATTGAAAATTTATTATTATTATTAATATTAACTTGGAATGAACTGGCTTCAGAAGATTAAGACTACACTCACTGTCTAACATAAGAACATGTAGTTGATCGACTTTGTCTTCTAATAGTAGTCGTTTCTAGTTAACAGTAAATGAGTATCAAAAACAATTCCAAATATTCAGTTCATTAGAACATAGTTTATTCATATTTTGAAGGAAGTACAGTGTTTTGTAAATATGATCTCTCTTTATTTGGTGGGTGGTGACTATCAGTAGAATCCAGGATGCTCACTTCGTCCTATTTGGGACTCATCAGCTGGATGTACCTGCATTTCTCAGTGAGTGATGATGTTCCCACCGAGGCTTGAACCCAGTGCCCATTGTTTCAAACGCCAAAGCGTTATCCACTAGACCACTTGGGCCACGAGAGCAACGGGTCATATTAATTTAATTGAATTTTAGATTTCCCCGTCGACTGATTGGACCGAAGTGTTGGGTCGACGATTCCCAGACATCTCTTTTTTTGGTTCAAAATTTATCCCCAATTTCACAATAAATAGACTTTACATTACAATTATTAATGGTTATTGACCGAGTATCATACTTCATAAATGATACTTAATTGACCTTTTAACCTTATTAAACCAAGTGTTCAATCATTTTAAAAAAAATTATAGTTAATTAGAAAAAGGCGAGTGGATGATTGTCAGTTGTTTATCACACCATCTTAGATTAGTAAACTAGGAATGGTTGGTTGATACATGAAGAGTTGCAACGAGACTTGAATAGTTAATCTGCCTTTGGATCCAGTATGATTAGAATGAAGGCGAGAAGGACTACAGATGAGGTGAAACATACACCTATGTGGCACATATTCACATAATCCTTGGTACATACAATGAAATGATGACCTTATTAATAGTTGTGACTTGTTTCGGTCAACTGATAGAGCATGGGGCAAGTAACCGGTAAACTTTTGGTGCAAAGTTTGTCTCTACCAATTAGCCAATGCAATGGCACCTCAGTCATGCACTTCCACATACACACAAGACATACAATATAACCACAATATGGTTATTAACGAGGGATTAAAATGTATTCAAAGTTTCGACATATGAATATCTTTTTTAATGGCTTAAACACTTATTAATGACCTTTAAGTCTCATTTAACATGAGAGGTTAGTAATTATTGATTATGTCACTTTCCCCTATATAACGAATGCATCACTAGCAAATAGAAGACGGAAATTTTGAATATGTGAGCCATTAAAACTTTAAAAAAAAAGACTTGACATTATCAAGGGGATGCTAGTGGTATTCGGCTTTTGTAGCATAGCGTTAAACCTAAATATAATCAAACCTAGAGGCTTTCAAGTTTTATTTCGTAGGGATTTAATCTGTTTCAAGTCTGACCACGGATAGATATTGTGAAGAAGACAAGACTGAGGAGACTGAAAGGATTGTTTATTTGGTGAAACGTATGGTACATAGCTAAATTTGGAATACCATATTCTAAACCGGCCATTTGCACATCTTCACCACATCCTTGACGAATTGGTCGAATATCGTCTCATTCGATAGCTTCTTGGATTCTGCATCATATGGCAACATTCTTCTCATGGTTCTCTTCTTTGATTGCTCTTTTCAGTGTGCCAAACATGTTGTTACTTCGTTCCTGATATACTACTTATATCGGATTATAAGTAGCACTCACCACACTCGCCCCCTCATTATAAAGTCTCTCCTGTAACCGCCTTGATCGCCGCACAGACGTTTCTTCCTGCTGCTCTTCTGGTACCTCATCTTGACATTCTTCTCTCCATCTTTGTAGCAGACTGGCGTTTACTCTTTTCTCTTTATCTCCTCTCTTTATTGTGTACACTGGACCGCGTCTCGATGTGACCACATATGGTCCCTCCCACTTCGGCAGAAGTTTTCCTGATCCTGGTCCACTTCCGGTAGTATACTTTCGTTCTCTACATTTCACCTGGTCACCTACTTCAAACAGCTTCCAAGCTTTGATTTGTTTCTTGCCATACTTTTCGATGTCTTTCTTGCGCTTCTCTTGTATATTCTGAATAGCTTGTTTCCGCTCATTTGTCCATCTCTTACTGTTCCATTTTTGTTGTGTTGGCCAAGTCTTATGGTGCACCGGTAAGCGTGGTTTCCTCCCATACATCAGCTGGAAAGGCGACTTTTTTGTTGTCCCTTGTACTGTGGCACGATGTGCTAGTAATACCAACGGTAAGTCAGTTTCCCAGTTGCCTCTTTTCGCAGCTAACCATTCCTTGAGTGTACGATTGTTCCTTTCGGTTAAGCCGTTTGTCTGCGGATGATACGGAGTCGCTCTAATCCTCTTAATACCCAGTGTCTCCAGACGAGTCTTGAACTCCTCACTTTCAAAACAGGGGCCTTGATCTGTCAATATCATTTTCGGTACACCATGATCCGCCACAATATGTCGAATGACCGCCTCGGTTACGGTCTTGGCGCGCTGATCTGGAATCGCTACAGCATTTACCCACCGCGTGGCGTGTTCCGTCATCATTAAAATGTATTGATTTCCACTTGCTGTTTGAGGGAAAGGACCCATTATGTCCACGGACCATAAGTCACCAACCGCCGTTACGGGTATCGTTTGTAGCTGCGGTCGAATGCACCGATCACTCTTCATCAATTGACACTGTGGGCAAGCGAGTACGTAGTTTGCAATATCGCCTCTCATGTTTGGCCAGTATGCACTTTGGCTCACTAGGTCGTATGTTCGTGTAACTCCTGTATGGGCTAGTTGGTGGCATTCTTGAATCACCCCACGACGAAGGCTCTTTGGTATCCCTGTAACCCAGCTACCATCACTGTCTTTCCAAGTTAGGACGCCGGCAGCGTTTAGTTTGAGTCTATGTTTTTGCTGCAGTAGCATCTTTAACTCTTTATTCTCTGCTGCCATTTCAATTTCTTTCCCTTCACGTATCATCTGCATGACTGTCTTAAGAGTAGGATCCGACTTCTGGTGGCGAACAAGTTGTAAGGGATCTTGCTCCAAAGCGTTTACTGGATACGCTACTTCTGGTAGTTCAGTCTCATTATCTGATCTCGACAAATAGTCAGCTATTACATTTTCTTTTCCTGGAATATGTCCAATCGTGAAGTCATACTCTTGTAGGCGTAACATCCATCGTGATAACTTCCCTCGTGGATCCCGTGCTGTTTTCAACCACTGAAGAGGTTTGTGGTCGGTCTCAATGTGGAATCGGCGGCCGATCAGATATGGTCTCCATTTTTCTAGTGCCCATACGATAGCTAAACACTCCTTTTCCACCGTAGAATACTTCTGTTCTGCAAGTGTCAACACACGGCTAGCGTATTCAACAACCCCATCTGTTTGTCTTAAAACAGCACCTATACCATAATCACTGGCGTCTGTCGAAACTGTGAACTGCTTCCCCGGCGCTGGCAGTTTCAACGTCATCTGTTGACCATCTAACAGCTCTTTAATTCGCTCAAACGTTTGCTGTGCCTCTTCCGTCCACATGAATTTCGCGTCACTCAGCAACGTATATAGCGGTTTAGCTATCTCATTGAAATTTTTGACAAATCGGCTGTAGAATGCCGCTCTTCCCAAAAACTGTCTCAGCTTTCGCTTTGAATTTGGCACTTCGCTGGTTTTGACTGTCAGGATTTTCTCCGGCAATGGCCGTATTTCGCCATTTCCCACTTTGTAACCCAGGAGGACAACCGTGCTTTTAGCTATTTGGGACTTGTGCTTATTAATACGCAGTCCAAAGTCATCAATTCTCTTTAAGATAGCTTCGATGTGGTCTATGTGGTCGCTTTCTGTCTCACTATACACCACCAAGTCATCTCCATATACTTCTACGTTCTTCAGACCCTTCAGTAATAAGGTCATTAATCTTCTGAATGTAAATGGGGCACCTACCAATCCAAATGGCATTCGTTTAAACTGGTATTGTTTCTGCCCGACTGTGAAAGCTGTTTTACTTCGATCACTTTCTGCTATTGGGATTTGCCAGTAACCCGATCGTAGGTCGAACACGGTGAATAACTTGGCTTTATGAAGGCGATCAAGAGTTTCTGTTACGGTAGGCATTACACACTGTTTTACTTCGGTGAGGCTATTCAGCTGTCTGAAGTCGACACAAAATCTATATTTCCCGTTAGCTTTCTTCACCAAAAGGATTGGCGAACTGTACGGACTGTCGGCTTCTTCGATTATTCCGTCGTTTAACATTTCTCTGACTTGTCGGTTAACTTCTTCTTCAAGGTGAACCGGAACT